GATTGATCAATTTACAAGAATATGGTAGTACTGACTACAAACAATGCAACTAACCGTCATATACTCATCGAAGTAGAAGACGGTCTGCTTCCAGTGTGTGTATGGTGCCTCCGGAGCGGTGCTGAAACCCAGCCGCTTGTGGGACTTCGTGAACTCCACGTTGAAAAAGGTCACCAGCGCTTGGATGAAATCGTTCCGACGGACCTGAACAAACACACTAATGAAATCCCGCTACTAATATTGTGTTTTGAATAAGTTAAGACCCACCAGAGATATTTAAAATCTATAATATGATTTAAACTAGAAATGTAAGTACAGTAGAACCTCGATATGTTAAAGTCCAAGGGAAACACATAATATTTTAAGTTATCAAGGGTCTATGTTGTGGAGGTTTTGGTCTCTGATGGTAAGGGAACAAATTATTTTTTGAAGTTATAGAGGTTTTTAAGTTACCGAGGTTTGAGTTATCGAGGTTCTACTGTATATCTAGACCAGAAATATAAAAACTAGTAATATTAGAGTAAACTATGGGACTAATTCATCTGCAAACATTAGGACATAACTCATACTAAAGTACTTTTAGGCGTGGATTTTACTTTAGTTAGGCACTAAAGGCTGTTTCACTATTGCTTAATATTTCGTTACAAATGAAAAAAGTTTTTTGCTTACCTGCATATGAAACTTTGCTTCAAAGTTAAGATCTTCCTTCTTAACTGTATACAAGTCAATTTCTTTCAGCAGACAAGAATTTGTGACCACCTGTAAATATAATAGTAATTTTACTAATGTCACTAATATTATAAATGCGAAAGTTTGAATGGATGGATGGATATTTGTTAAAATTTTAGTCTAAATGGTTACACAAAGGCTTTTGTTTTTTAATCTCATGGGAACAGATCCGCGGATGAAAGCTAGTTTACAATATATGTAACATTGAATGTTTGAATGTCTATCTAACGATATCAAAATATTTAAAACTAGCTATTCACCGCGACTTTGTCCACACAGAATTTGAAAAAAAATCTAGTAATAAATATAGCGTATTTGTCATTGACAATAAAGTTTAAACTAAATCCAAAAAAAAAAAAATAAACCAGAGTTTTAAGTCAATAAAGTAAGTTTTATTTAAGAACAATTATGGTAATCAATCTATAACATTATAATAAAGCGTAAACACACACTTCTTTGTTGTCTAAGATCTCAGCAATTACAGCATATTTTTGAATAATTCTTGTTTTAAAGAAAAGCTCAACACTTACGTCACGCTTTAGGCTACATATTTTCACGCCATTAAACTTAGGAGGTAAATATTTCGAATAAAAACCCTAATGTGGGAAAGAGACCGTAAGATGCTGCCAACATCAAGGAAGCAAGATTGCCATAGTAAGGTAATTGGTAATTTGACAGCTAGTTTAAACTAAAAAAAAACAATCTATTTTGTCAGTATAATAAAGTCTTACTTGTTTAGCATCAACAACATCAACAAGTGGCTCGGAGATGGCCACCTTGCGGATGGAGGACATATCAAAGCCGTACACATCATCCCACCAGTTGATCTTCTCATCCTTGTACTGCCGGTCCTCGATGCCACAGATGAACAATGTGCATCTGTGGAATATGCCATTGTAATCTTACTAATATTGTATGATAAATATGACAGTTTAGATCAGTGATTCCCTAAAGAGGTCTAAATCGACCCCTAGGGGTCTATGAAAACCCGCAGGAGGTCTACGTCAGAGAAAAAAAATTTGGGGGTCCATGAAATGAAAATGAGGATCCACGATAGTAGATCTTAACACATACAGTATATTATGTATGTATGTTTTTTATGTAATTTTACACAAAAAAAAACATGTCATAAAACTATCCTACACCACTATGACTCATACAACATATGTACTCTACATATGTTGTTTTGTAAATTGTAACCAGCGCACCCGCGTACAAACCAATTATATGGTTTTTGCGGGGCCGTATTTGCACAATTTGCAAAATTTTACATGAAACAAATTAAAAAATATGCACTTATTTTTTAATTTGTTTCATGTAAAATTTTTAATAAAAAAAAACACTTAGAGTACTTATTTAATTACATCATACTATCTGATAATATCAAAACATATACATTATTTTGAGTAGTTTTAATTAAAAATCGATTAATACGTGTATAAATTGACATGTGTTTATACTTAAAGTTTTTAATACTAAACTTCACTACAGTTAGAAAGTTATGTGGAATCAATATCAGGTAAGTAGGGGGTCTACCCAACATGGAAAAACATGGCAAGAGGTCTACGGCAAAAAGTTTGGGGAACTCTGGTTTAGATGAACAGATGTTCATTACTATGTTTATTCATCTCCTTAATAGATGGGTAAATTTCAATGCTTATATTTCAAATCATCTTAGCAAGTAAACTAAATGATCTTTTAAGCAGCAGCTTTTTATAAAAAGCAGTTAAACATCCTTTTGCTAAAGTAATCAAATCAATATTAAGCTAGTTGATTGCCTTTTCTTCATACAAACACAAAAAGCATTGTTTTACCTGTCCGGGAACAGCATACCGCCAGGCTTGAGCCATTTGTCACGAGCATACAGCACAGTGTCCAACATACTCTCATAGAACAAGCAGTAGCCCATCCACTCTGAGATTATTATGTCCACCTTATCCACGGGCAACTCCACTTCCTCTACCTTAAAGGAAAAATAAATTCATGATTTAGTACAAAGGCAAACAATCAAGTGGCCTTTTGAATTTATCAAAAACTAGCTATTTCCGTGCGACTTCATCCGCATAAAATTATATTTACATTTGTCAAATTATCAATTACAATTGTCAAAATGACATGACAGGATGACAACCTTGCTTCCTTGATGTTGGCAGCAACTTAAGGTCTCTTTCCCACATTAGGGTTTTTAACCAAAATATTTACCCCCTAAGTTTAATGGCGTTAAAATATATAGCCTAAAGTGTAACGCAAGTGTAGGGCTTTTTATTAAAAAAGGAATTATTATATTAACTATTAAAATATGCTGTAATTGCTGACATCTTAGGCAAAAGAAGTCTGTGCTTTCGCTTTATTACAATAGTATTGATAGCAAAGTGACAATTACAGAAATCTGCGTTTGCAGATGTGTCATCTACTTTTCATATGAACTATTAAAAAATTACTTTAGTTGAGCATTTTCCAATGGGCCAATCAGTTCACTGATCAATTGAATTTATGGGGTATTTCTTTCCCATTGGCTCAATTGATTGGTGCCCCAATCAACCTATTGTGAAACACCCATTTAGTTTCTGTAATTAAGTCAACAGTTTGTTAATTTGTATATATGTCATATTGTTTATCACCAAACCAATTAATAAATTTATTTAAAAAAAGAGAATCATATAATAAACATAATTAGACAAAATCATATTTTCGGTATCCCTAATGTTACAGTAAGTTTGTTCCATTACCTTTCCTTTGACAATTTCAATGACATCGTCAAGTCTGTTAGCCTCAACAATCTTGCGAGCATAGTCTACAATATTGGAGCATTCCACCGCTATCACTTTAGCTGCGCCAGCCTTTGCTGCAAACATTGACAGGATACCCGTACCACATCCGATGTCCAACACTGTCTGAAAACATCATGATTGATGATTTAAATATCACATTTTCTTCATATTAATATACATTAAGTAGGTAACAACAAAATGTACCACATTCTGTTTACCGAAGGAGTAATTTTGTTTAATTTCTATTGAAAAATATTAGTTTTACTGTCATGTCATATTTTGTAACAACTATGGAAAAAGCTTTGTGATATAGCATGTTGAAGTAGATTTTAATAAGGTCTAATTAGAACATTAACAATTTTTTAACTTTCGTTGTTTTTAATGTAATCTGAAGAACATACAAAAAAATCATTTCTTTTATGGAAATTTTAATTTTTTACATTCTTGTTATCGCTCTAAACGGAAACATATCTGTAAAAAGTAAGTATTGATCATACTTACTTTTTCTTTAAACAAATGCCTATTGTGATACATGGCGTTTCGATACGTTAGCGTGCGAACTTCATCTTTCAGCATTTCCTCGTGGATACCGAAATGCGCATAGGAATCAAAATAATAGTCCCTGGACGTCATCTCCTCCGCTGTGACGTTCTTGTCCGGTCCTATAAACATTTTAACCTCCAATATATAACAATGCGTTATAGTAACAATGAATAGCAAAGCACATTTTCGACAACGGACGCCGGGCGTCACTCAAAAGTGATTTAGGATCTCACCATTTTCGAGCACCGGTGATGTAGCCGCCGAAGTTCCTTCTTGGGCAACGTCCATGCTCTCCATTGTAAATTAACTCGAACGAAGACAAAAATTTAATAAACTTCGCCTATAACCTGTAACTCGTTCACTGAACGCCAATCGATCCGTCACGAACTCACGACGTGCGTCGAGAGTATTGTATATCAATTTATGTACACCTATTACCTTATTATAGTTTTCTTAATGCTAATTCTAGAAATTAAAGTACTAAATATCACAAATTGCAATGGTAAAACACAAAACTTATGAATACGCTCGATCCGTAGAACGAGCTTTTCTTCAAAATGGTTTGAAAAGACAGATTAAAAAAGCGCGGCGCGTGAAATAAATATCATCAAACATTTTATAGTCTGTATTCTGTAAACAACAAAAAACAAAAATACTTTTATTTTAATATTAAAACCGGTTAGTCAAACTTTATTAAGAAAATAACTAAAAACGTATTTTTGTGCTTAACAATTGTATGTTAATGTCTCTTTGGACAAACGATCAAAAATGACCTTACATTTTTATAGAACGTCTACCAAAAGGCGGTATAGCAAAAGGTCAAACATATACTTGATATTAGACTAAAACATCGAAATACACATGTTTGTAGACATCTGTAAAAAGTTAAAACGTCGTAAACGTGTTGCCAACTTTTTACCCACAGAGAAGGGATAGTAATAGGTACTTTCCCTTCTTTTTAGGTTAAAGTGCCTAATGCGCGGTTTACACTTGGTCGGTAGCGCTCAATAACTGGACTTTCATCTGCACAGTATGAACGCTAACTGGAGCCAGTGAGTCCATACAATCTATGACTGGCCGTCGCAACCGTCCCACTGCACTGGCCAAGTGTAAACCGGACATTAGTTGCTTTCTCATCTGTTCCTCGGGGTGGGAAGGAGAGAGGAAACGACTAAACTTAGGGTAACCTAACCTGTCGGTAACGACACAAATTTTGTGACGAAACAAAGATATTTTTCACCTTCACGCTTATCTCTTGTGGGTGGTATTGCCCTGTTCGAGCGTCTTCATTGTACCTTTTGAAAATTCCCCCACGATACAAAAAAAGTTGCCACTGTAGTATGACAATAAAACATACTATCCAAGATTTTAATGAAGGATGAAAACATGTAATTGAAGAAAAATATTCGGCGAACAGAAAAGTGTTTAATAACCGCGTTCATCCATATAGAACATAGATGGAAACAATATTACAAAACTCATTAAAACATCTAAGCTAATATTATAAAGAGGAAAATTTGTATTTTTGTATGTATTGAAATAACTCAAAAACCACTGGACTGATTTTAAAAATTCTTTCACCATTAGAAAGGTAATTTGTCTGTGAGTAACATAGGCTGTTTTATTATTACTAATGTTTTGGAACTATTAATAAAAAAGAGTGTTTCTGGACGACGGCGTCAAAAAATGACTAAACTTTAACTTTTCTCGGCTTACGCTCTTTAAACTGTTAGAGGTATATAAAAATGATGTATGAAAGAATTGTAGATCTTAAAAAGTTCTATAGAAAAGTCCGCGATTGCATATATCTATCTTTAACGGTTCTATTACAATAACCACTTTTTTGTTTACAAAATGAATTAAAAACCCCACGTTATTTGCAGCGTTCTTTTATTGGTTTCAATATTTATCCTTATCCAAATAAATGCATTTGTTATCAGGAGAATTTAATGTAGAATAAAATTGTCTTTTACAGTATTTAAATTGGACTAATAGTTTAAAAGATACCGCGAACACAAACAATAAGGGTAACCGAAGAATCAGCTTACAAGCTACCGGGCTTAGAAATTTGGAATCTTGCATCGGTAGATTTCTGTTATTGCGTAGATTACTACTAAGTTAATACTTTTTGTAATAGGTTGAAAAAAAGGGCGAACGTAATAGGTTATATTTGTTTTTTTACGCGGGCGAAGTCGCGAGCAACAGCTAGTCGCTAGATATACTGCTTGCGACTTTATTTTCGACTTGCACCGATCACGTGGGGTCGTAAATGCACTAAAATCGAATACAAGTGCTAGCATGTTTACAATCTCTTATACATTGAACAATCTAATTTGTTATTTACCTACTATACTAGTTACAGAGAAGTTTAGTGCTCGCGGCATAAGCAGTGGGTTAAACACGTGTTTGCCAACACGTTTTGGCGCGGATTTAAATGTCAATTAAAATTCAAAACAATATTTCTGTACTGCCAGTGTGTTGCTTTTGTATTACTTTTATGCATGCCTACATGGTTCTTTTCATTGTTTTATTGTAAAGCGTAAAATATATTTTTTTCACTAAGCATTTTCTTATACAAGTGTGTTCAAATTCAATTCAATTTTCGGAAAATTAAATTATATAGTTTATTCATAAAAAGGTAAGCGAATTTTATTACGAAAATATTATAAGGTAATTTATGATATAGTTGCATTTTATTTAATGTTTTGAACTTATGCACCTACAAACATTAATCAATACAAAGAAATGACATGTGTTCAGTTTTTAATTTCTCAGACATTTAGTTCTCTTTTTTTATTATCTGTTGCAAAAGTTACAACGTACCAAAGATAGATTACAGCCTGGAATAGGGGATATAGGATAATTATGCAGTTCACTCACCAGTAACATTTGTAAATGTTTCTTTTTTAATATTTACGTTTTTAATCTTTAGCACCAGTATGACATAATTCGACCCCGACGTTGACCGTGGCCACTTAACTAATCCAATGGTACTTGATTGTGTCGCAACACATGTTTCCCTAGAGATCTCGCTTGCTTGCTACTGTCAATTATTTAATGAAGCTGAACCATATTCCTACCAATAAACCATTGACCTCTATAAAATCATATATCTGTAGAGGTCACTAATAGAATAATGGTTCATAGTGTAATTTAGTAATACATAGAATAGTCTATTAATATGATTAATCTTCTAATTTACATCTATACTTCTATAGTTAATATAATAAAGGGGAAAGATTTGTATTTTTTGATTTTTTAATCTATTGAAATAACTAAAAAAACTACTCGGTAAATTTAATTTTTTTTGCACTATTAAAAAGCCACCTAACTACTGAGTAACTTAGTCACTAACTACTTTTTAAATAAAACGCGGACGAAGTCGCGAGCAACAGCTCGTTTTTAATCATAATCTGTATGATCTAGTCGTTTTTAATGCCTGGTTCAGACTTGCCCAGTGCAGTTGGTAAGATTGAAAGGCGTTACAGACGCCAATAAGTGTTTACATTATGCCAGTCCAGTTATCAAGCGCTAATGTCCAACTGTACTGGCCAAGTGCAATCCAGACATAAGATCTACCAGGTATAAAGAGAATTGGTAACTTAGTTACTATCTAGTAAGACAACGAAATTAAAATGTTTATAAAATTATATCTTTGATTACATTTCGGAGCAACGATAGAACAAACACTGGATGTTAAGATGAAATTTATATCAACTTAACGGAAAAAAGTTAGATTATTAATAATTAGTAAAGCACGTCTGTTATTAAAAAAAGATAACCGATGTTATACAACTGTTGCTAAGCAATTTAGCTAATTATTTCACTACACTTTATGTAATAACATATGATAACTGTTTTAATTACACTTCTTAAATTCATTTTCAAATGCGTTGACAATTGTTTTTGTTCCCTTCAAATTATTAATAACAGAATCCAATATTTAACTTAGTTGTTACTTAATTACTTATTCTAAATGCAACATAATTAAGTAATGACCGAAAGCAGGGATATTAATTTACTAACAATACAATATGTTTAAAAATAAATAAAGTCACATTGGAATTAGAGTCGAAAATAAAATTGTTATCGACATAGCAACAGAAAATGAGTTAAATTGGGAGTTCACTAATCTCCAGACGTTATCATAAGCCGACTATTTCATATCGATAACGTATCGACGCTCACTTTATCGATATTTATTGAAAAGATAAGCAACAGCCCAACACTCGTATTGTGAGTGGGATCGGGTACGGACGTGCTTGAATCATTAAAATTTTTACGCGTGTGGCAAAGGACTCTAATCTAACGTGCGTGGGTGATAAAATTAGTAATTTATTTTGGGAAAAATAAAGTTTATTGGTAAGTTTTATCCTAAATATTTTATAATTCATTAATTTAGTTTTACTTTTTTTAGTTTGATTAGTTTTAAATGTTAATAATTTGTAAACAAAAGGATCAATGATGCGATGGTTTTTGGCAGAACTCCAAAACTTACACGATGTATGCATGATATGATTGCATTTTATATTTAACCATAATAAAATACTGTCCAAAAATAACGTTTAAAATGTAGGGTAATTTAACTATACAGTCTTTGTAACTTAGTAAGTAAGAAATTAATATTTTTAATCTTGTCTTAAGGCTAAAGTTTCAAGCTTCACGCACTCGCACATTTTGTCCGTCACTTTTTTATCTAGGTTTTTTAAAGTAACTCAGTTATTTATATATGGAAATATCCTCTTTATGTTCGTCTCTTCTTCCTTCGATTAATGCATCTGGAATTGCGGATGTCTGGGCGGCGATCGCTTTTCCATTTCGGCGGAATAAGGTGGTCCCCTGCTCGTTTGCCACCTCTTCATATTAAAAAAAATAGTTTCATGCACAAAAAATAATGACTTTTATTAGATTTTGAGTATCGCCAAGTCCCTTCCACTTACAAGCGAGCATAAATAAGTCCATGAAAATCATGGTGGCAATACGTGTTAAATTTTATAATAAATTTATAAAGGTACACCAATATGTAGCAAAACATGAACAATATTCAATATAAGAAAGTAAGCTATCATTACAATATGCTATTTTTGCTTATCCCAAAATGGGTCAAACAACTCTCCGGTTCCAGTTTACCCCAATTAGTAAATACGTCAATCATTAGGTAATTTGTCGTTGAGTACACAAACGCCGGGCCATTACAAGAATTGAGTTCGAACAATTAATTAGCAAAAATGGAGTGGCCTGTAAACCCCTACATAATTATCTTCCTGTACTAATTGCCTGTTATGGTTACGCCCACTTTCATTAAAAATATCAAATTTGCGTAAGCACTTTGGTTTAATATATTTAAAGAATACACTATCTTTCTGTATTTGTTTTACTTCATTCATATGGAAATTAATAACTAACTATAACTATTACTTAACATATTTGGAAGTATCCTTGTGGAATCGAAAACCCGACCAACTAGTTGCTACTGTTTATTTTGGGCTTCTAAATTACTAGCTTTCGCCCGCAGCTCCGTCCGCGTGGAATTAAAAAAAAAGGTGAAACGAGTGTTCTTCCAGACTATTC